ACTCAGAATCAACACATTCATATTACTTATTCCAGTCTATTGTTATTATGGTTCTTCTTAATTACCACTGTCATAATTCCCCTACTATGCATAATTTATAAACTATTTCATAGACATGTATGTTTAGGGAAAACATACTGTATATAGCTTTGAGTCTCAACCTTGATTTCAGGCTTTTCCTGTATCTCTAGCAGATAAGGAGGGAGCTTGAACATAACACAAAAGTTGACCCAGGTTATAAAAGAAGTTGATATTCATAGTAGAAGATTTATAAAACACATCTCTCAGAATTCAATTAATTAGCCAGGAGCTGGTGGCTCACACCTGTAATCCCAGCTATTCAGGAGGCTGAGATCTGAGGATCCTGGTTCAAAGCCAGCCTGGATAGGAAAAGTCGACGAGACTTTTTTTTTTGTCGGTTGTGGGGTCTGAACTCTAGGCCTGGGCACTGTCCCTCAGCTCTTCAGCTCAAGGCTAGCACTCTACTACTTGAGCCACAGGGCCACTTCCAGCTTTTTCTGCTTATGTGGTGCTGAGGAATTGAACCCAGGGCCTCATGCATGCAAGGCAAGCACTCTACCACTGAACCACCTTCCCAGCACTGCCCCCCTCCCCCCCCCACCATAAGACTTTTATCTCCAATTAACCACCAACCAGAAAACTGGAAGTGGTATTACAGCTCAAAATGGTAGAGCACTAGTTTTGAGTGAAAGAGCTCAGGGACAGTGTTCAGGCCCTCAGTTTAAGCTCCACGACCAGAAAAAAAAAAATCAATTAGTCAGACAAAAAAAAGTAAGAATATAGTTGGGTGCTGGTGGCTCATGTCTGTAATCTTAGCTACCAAGAGACTGAGATCTGAGGATCCCAGGTTGAAGGCAGGCCCAGCAGATGAATCTCAGAGATTCTTATGTCTAGTTAATCAGCAAAAATGCCGAAGTGGAGGGGTAGATCAAATGTTAGAGATCCAGCCTTGAGTGAAAAAACCAAGTGAGAGTTGGTGACCCTGAGGTCAATCCCCAGTACTAACCTAAAAAATTAAGAATATAAAATTGGAATAGCTAAACAAGTTTGATTTTCATAGGTATAGATATGGAAGTATGTATCAAGGTATATGTTCTTTTTTTTTTGTCAGTTATGGGGCTTGAACTCTGGGCCTGGAAGCTGTCCCTCATCTCTTCAGCTCAAGGTGGGTGCTCTACCACTGAACCACAGTGCCACTTCTGGTTTTCTGGTGGTTAAAAGGAGATAAGAGTCTCACGGACTTTCCTGCCGGGGCTGGCTTTGAACCACGACCCTCAGATCTCAGCCTCCTGAGTAACTAAGATTATAGGCATGAGCTACCGGTGTCTGGCTGATTATTTTTCAGATAGGCCAGCATGGACAGCTCTGAAAACCTACATACTATACAACTGTAAGTTACATACTTTAAGTTGTAAGCCATGCTCTTTGAGTTGGGAAATATAATGTCTTTGCCCCAGATTAATCATGTGAAGATTTCAACAATGTTTATTACTTGATTTTTTTTTCTTTTGCTGGTCCTAGGGCTTGAACTCTGTCCTTGAGGTTTTATGTTCAAGCTGGTGCTCTACCATTTGAGCCACAGTTCCACTTCCCCAGCTTTTGGATGGTTAATTGAAGATAAGAGTCTCATGGATTTTCCTGTCCAGGTTAGCTTCCACCTAAGCCATCTGAGTAGGATTGCAGGCAAGAGCTATAGGTATCTGGTATGCCTGATAATCTATTAAAAAATCAGTAATGATGCTGGGTGTTGGTGGCTCACATCTATAAACTTAGCTACTCAGGAGGCTGAGGATTATGGTATAATACCAGCTGGGGGCAGGAAAGTTCATGAGATTCTTACATTTAATTAACCATCAAAAAGCCAGACCTGTGGGCTGGGAAGTTGGCTCAGTGGTAGAGCACTTGCCTTGCATGCCTGAGGCCCTCAGTTCGATTCCTAAGCACCACATAAGCAAAAAGAAAAAAGCCGGAGTGGCGCTGTGACTCAAGTGGTAGAGCGCTAGCCTTGAGCTGAAGAGCTGAGGGACAGCACCCAGGCCCAGAGTTCAAGACCCATGACCGGACCCCCCCCCAAAAAAAATGGCTTAAAAAACCAGACCTGTGATTTAACTGGTAGAGAGCCAACCTTGAGCAAAAATAGTCAAGGGATGGGGATGGGAAGGTGGCTCAGTGGTAGAGCACTTGTCTTGCATGCCTGAGGCCCTGGGTTCCATTCCTCAGCACCACATAAGCAAAAAGAAAAAAGCCGGAAGCTATGCTGTAGCTCAAGTGGTAGAGCACTAGCCTTGAGCTGAAGAGCTGAGGGACAGCGCCCAGGCCCAGAGTTCAGGCCCCACGACAGGACCCCCCCCCCACCAAAAAAAGTCAAGGGAAAGTACCTGGAGCTTAAATTCAAGCCCCAGTCCTGGCACCAAAACAAAAAAGTCAGTACTGTATGGTGGAGTGTGGTGTTGCACACCTGTAAACTCCAGCACTGGGAGGCTGAGACAGTTGTTGGACTTGTCAATTGAACAGCATTTAGTTTTTTTGAGGTTTTCAGGAAATGAAATGTGTTGTGTGGTGATGTTACTGAAATCCTAGTCTAGAGGCTCAACTTGGAAGGCAGTATTCCCCCAAATCAGGTGTGGACAGTCACCCCAGAAAACTAAACAAAAATGGTAATGGTAAAACAAACAAAGCAAAACCCAAGAATTTTAATCAGTATATCTATACTATAAGACAAAGGGCCAGTGTCCTTAGTCCTGTTTTCAGAGGTGAAAAAGGAGGAGTCTTTTCTCTTGTCACAAGATACTTATCTACTTTTCCTTCCTGAAGAGCAATGACCCAGAGTAAAGGAGACAGGGGCAAAATGGAGGCAGAAGTTGAGGGATAGTGTCTCACACCTGAAATCCTAGCTATTCCAGAAGCTGAGATCTGAGGCTCACAATTGAAAGCCAGCTCAGGCAGGAAAGCTTATGTGAATCTTATTCCTAAGCACCAAAAAGTTGGAAATGGAACTGTGACTCAAGTGGTTGAATGCCAACCTCGAGCAAAAAAGTTAAGGGACAGTACCAAACACTGAGTTCAGACTCCACAACTGGAAAAAAAAAATCTCACAGACTTTAGCCCAGGCTGGCTTTGAACTACAACCCTCAGGTCTTAGCCTTATGAGGAGCTAGGATTACAAGAATAAGGTACCAGAACTAATTTGATGATATTTGTTAATGATAATTCCTGGATTTTTGTCCCAAACAGCCAAGAGGACAGTAGGGACATTTGCAGAAATGAGGAAGACTGGAGAATAACAAACTTAGAGAGTAAGGAACTTGAATCAAGAGAGTTATTTGGAGCATAGTAAGTTTGTGATGCTTATTAGTATTCAAGGGAAGATGTCAGATGAGCTCTTCAATGTTCATAGAAGAAACATTAACAGGTTGCAGTCAAAGAAATCTAGTCTCTTTAACCATATCAAAAACACCAATAGACAGTATGTGAAACAGGAGATGGGGCCAGAAGGGAGGGTACTGAGAGGTGAAAAGTATTCATGTATATTATATATGTGTGTGTGATACACACATATGTACAGATATGTGATGCATGTATGTGACACAGATATACACACATATGAAGAAACACACACACATATGAAACAGCCAAATGAAAGCCATCAAACACTGTTTGAAAAGTCATTTTAACTACTCAGGAGGCTGAGATCTGAGGTTCAAGGTTCAGAGCCAGGCCATGAAATAAAGTTTATGAGATTTTTCTTTCCAGTTATCCACCCAAAAGCCAGAAATGTCACTTTGGCTCAAGTGGTAGAGGCCAGCCTTGGGCAAAAAAGCTAAGGGACAGCACCTCGTGCCTAAGTTTGATTCTCACTATTGGCACACACACACACACATACACACACACACAAAGACAGAAAGAAAGAAAAATAGAGTAGAAGGAGGAATAGAAATATAATAGAGTGAACTTGCTCAAAGAGCAATGTACACATCTATGGAATTTTCATAATGAAATTCTCTTTGTACTATGGTAGTTAAAGATGAAATAAAAGCTGGGTTGCTGATGGCTCATGCTTGCAATTCAAATTACTCAAGAGGTTGAGATCTGAGGATTGCAGTTCAAAACCAATTTGTGTAGAAAGTCTGTGAGACTCTTCCATAAACTACCAAAAACAGAAGCTGGAAGTGACGCTATGGCTCCAGTGGTAGAATAGTAACTTTGAGTAAAAAATTCAGGGGCAGCATCCAGTCCGAGTTCAATCCCTAGGACTAGTGCACACATGTGTGCTTGCACATGCACACACAACTTGAAAACTCCAGCAAGTTACTGGTTTGATTCAATAAAAGGCTATCTCTTAAAACTGTTGTGCTGGTGATTAAGTTTATTTCGAGGTCAAACACACAATGCTATTTGTTATTGGTATGAAAGATGATATATTTTTCCTTTTTAAATTGGGGATTTTCTATGTTGGCGGCGCTGCCTTGAACTCCTGGGTTCAACATCTTTTTGCCTCAGTCTCCTGAGAAGCTGGGACTACAAGATCCAGCCACCGATGCCTTGCCTCAGTATACAGTTTATTGGAAGGTTGGACAGATAGATTGGGCCGTGAGCAGTGGCTACCGCAGGTGTTGGGATTTAGTGAGGTTTCCTTCTTTATAATCCTTGTTATTGGTAATTTGACATGTTCTCAGTGATTATGAACTACCCGCGAAATTCGTTCTTTAAACGAGAGCATCATGAGGGCATGGAGGGTCTCTTTCAGGTGGACAGTCTGCGCCTGGGCCACCTCTCAGGTGCGGGGTAGAAAGGTGATCTGACGGCGCGTGGACCAGATGCAAAGCAAGCTTTGCAAACAGGCCCCGCCCCAGAGCGGCGTGAGGGCGAGAAGTGGGCGCTCCCCAGGGCGCTGCCAGTGGGTCACGTGACCCCGAGCAGCCAATGGGCATCTCCAAGCCCACCTTGAGGACGGGGCGGGGCGCCGGGCTGGCGTCACCAGGACAACGGGCGTCGCCGGCGCCGTGTGACTGAGGGCTGTGGGTGCTCTCCCGGCTCTTCGGCCATGGTGAGTCTGAGGACCGAGCTGGCTGGGCGGCCTCGTCCTGGCGCCCCTGACGGCTCTTCCCCCCC